GAAACTTGCTTCCACATTTCAGGGAAATTTGTGAAAAGTTGAGAAACCTAATATTGTAGAATTAGGAAAAGGGATAAAATATAATAATATATAACCTTACATTTTGATTACGAAAACTATTTAAGAAGATAAAAAATGAAGTCTGTCCTCCTCTGTGTCAGCTATGAAATTATCAAAGTCAGAGTAGCTATTTCACTGCAAAGGCTAAGAAAGGAATGAAGCATAGTGAAAATTACACAATTATGTACAGTACTACGGTCTTCCCATATGGAGCTGAGAATTCACAGACAACTTTTGTTGTTCTCAATCTCACCGACGGACAAGTTCTGCCACACTTCCTTTGTGGGATCCTACTCTTCAGGACCACAAAGTAGGTCAGGGCTTCCCCACGTCATGGGTGGATTACCTTCCTAATCTCATCTCTTTCCTGTCCTTACCTGTTCTGGCACAAAGGCTTCTCATTGACCACCATCTCCTTTTGTCACTTCCCTCTCATCTTCAGGATGTCTTGCTGGTGCCTCCTGATTGCCAACCAAACCCAGAGTGTTCTGGCAGCTTTCAAAGTTCTCTGCCTGACTCGCTCTTCAGGTTATTTCCGTCACATCTCTATACTTGTCTAAGAAACAGTGTGCTGCTTTCCTTGCTCTTCGAACACCTCTGCTTTTACTTATTCCTTCTTGATACTTTAACAAGAGATCATTATTCTATGATACGGTCAGGGTTATGCCATAGTGTCAGCCCTTAAAATGTGTAGGAAGTGGTATAGAGGACAGGGACTAATGTCTGCAGCACTGCATGACAAATGCAGATACAGACTTACTAATGAGTGACTGGTGTAAAGAAGTAAAGAGGAAATATATATGATAAATTTACAACATCATATTGTATAACAAGGGTTACAGTGGTCTCTAAGTTCCAGGAAGACTTTTCTTATTATATTATATACGTAAAAGTGTATGTTGAAGAAACATACTGAACATGCCATCAGATTCTTCTGATGTGTGGAGTTATCCTTGCGATTTCATTCTACAGAGAGATCCCATTGTGGAAGTACGCTTATTTTTCCTAAGTGTAGAATTGGGACCATGTTGTCATTGAAACTGCAATGGAACAAGAAAAGCTGGTCCTGAGTTGTCTCTAATAAGCCCAGTGACTTGGAATGCCTTATCAGATGTCACCATTTCTTCTCTAAAATGAATAAATCAGGCTAGATGTCCCCAGCTTCTGAGGTTCTTACAATCCATAACTCTCTGTTGGCATTCATTCTTTGCTTCAGTGGACATATTAATAGAACCTACAGAGTGTACGCCACTAGATCTCGTGATTTGTTTATGTCATAGACATTCAGATCTCATCATTTCTAACAGGAGCTGGATGCTTTGACAGCAAGAATCAACAGAAGTGCTAAGCACCTAAGGTTAGGGTATTATGATTTACTTTCCTGCTTGTCTAAACCCCAGAGACATCAGCATGGGTAGTGAGAAACGGCAGCTCTTTGAGCATTCCCGTGGTCGCACAGGCAGTCAGGAATCCTCATCATGTTTGACATGTTTGTTGATAGTAAGACTCTGAAGTGACTGAGTGAAGATTGAGACAGAGCTAACCTGGCAGCCTGAGAGCTTAAAAGCATCGATTAGGGGCTGTGCAAGAATTTGACCTTCCAACTATCTCCATGTTGTGGTTTTGTTTCCTATAATGGAAGTTAAAAAAAAAAAAAGCAAGAAACTATTCTTCCATGTTTTATAGTGATTATTCTATGAAACCAATAAAGGGCATGGATTTTTACGTACCTATAAGTATAACATTAAGACTTTCACATGCTGGGGGATGAAGTGACGCAGACACAGTGTGGGGACTGCATTCCACGGGTGTCCACAGCTCTATATTAATCTGCCTTAGAAGAGCCAATTTCCCATGAGAGAAATCGCGATGCATTTTGTGCCTGCGTATCAGGCTGCCCATTGGCAGATTCTCACATTGCACTTGTTAATTAGGTGACAAAGCAACCTCATATATGGAAGTTGGTGCTAATGAAAATTTACATGAGAAACCAAAGGGAATTAAAGAGATGTGAAGATTACCATTTTGCACGTTATCTTTCTATTTGTGGTAATAAAAAAAGTGTAAATTGAAAAATCTGAGGAAAAATAATGGGTGATTTACTTTTAGAAATGAAATACAGTGAACAAGAAGTCATGCTCATAAATGCAAAAAGTACCCTAGTGCTTCATCTGAACAACGATACAGACATAAAATTTATTTTAACACTCCAAAATCCGGATGAATAGGCTGTAAAACATTTACAATTAATGCTAGATTTTCACACACTTTAAAAAAAATTAAATTCATACTGTTTAAAGTGAATAATGATAATGCCCTTTGGTTATAAATATGAATATAAAAGAAGCGTTAAGCACTAAGGAAATGAAATCCAAAGTATTATGCAATTTATTGTTATTTACCACTCACAGTTTTATAACTGGCCAAGTTTATCCAATTTGCTTTAATAAATTGACTGCTCTCAAATTTTATGTACCCAATTAATTGCCAGTTGAATTTAAGCATTCTTCTGTTTTCTACTCCCTGATTTCCTTATCAAATACACTGGGGAATATGTGACACTTTGCTTAGTGGAAAATATTTACAACTTTGTTTAATATTTTAGTAAAAATAAATAGAAATCACATGATAGTAAAAGGATTTATTCAGTTAAATATGTACTTTTGAGTACATATTTTTTGGAGCACTTTTAAATACTCCAACAATAGATTGTTTTGAGGACACATATGAATATGTCTGCACTTGTATGAATAGCATAATAAAATTTTCAAATTCTGTGAATGCTTTTGATCATTCTTTTATTCCTTTATTAGTTTGTTAATTAATTCACTGTTTACTTAATTCTTAATTTACTATATGAGAAGTTTTTATTAAGAATTTCCTAGTAATTTTCTCTTATCTTGCTATTAAAAATTAAAATAGTCAGTAGTTCTATGTTTTATTTGTATACATATACATACACACATATTTCTTATGCCTTCCAATATGACACAGTTCTCCGAAAATAGCCTCAATTTTTTTTTTCTTTTTTCGCTACCAGAAGTCAAACTCATGACCTCATACGTGCCAGGCCAGGCAGGCACCTGTGCCACTGAGCTGTATCCTCAGCCTCGTTTTCTTTTTCTTTTCTTTTATTTCTTGTATTACTTTATTTTTCCTGTGCTATGCACATACTGTGTAACTTTTGAGCCACTTTCCTAGTCCCACCCAATTGTCTATTAATAATTTTCATGGACATCTCAATTGCCACAGTATCTGATAATTTTATACTTAATAAACTTTTAATCAGTAATTAAAAGAATAATCCAGTTGACCAAATCACTTAAATTGGCATACCTTTGTTTATAGTCACTCTTTAAAAAAGTAAACAGTATCAATGATATTCAAACAATACTAATACATAAAATTATTTATTTAAAAATTGCCAACAATATCAGGAAGTACAATTCCTTGTTAAAAAAATCTTACTCTCTAAAGGAAAAGAAAGGATAGAGTTTGGATCTATTGATGGATTCTTTATATGTCAGCAACCAGTTTGAACTTTGTTCATTTGCCTAATGTTTGTTACTATTGCACCATAAGTGATAGATATCTCATATATTTCTAAATATTCATGAGAAAAGAATTGGTTTACTGTGAATTTGTTGTTAACTTTATGAAGGAAGGTATATCACCATATAATCAACATTTATGGGACACAATGTTTTGCCTTTATAAAACTCAACAACTGTTTAATGTAATTTTATATATTCATAATATTTATATTTCTACCTATTCATCTGTGCAAGTTGGATAGCAAATATGATGATCACCAAGAAATCAGTGAAAGGTAACGGAATTAGAATGTGCGTTAACTATAAACACACCAAAGAGCTGCTGTACCAATCATCTGAATGAGGCCTGAATTTCCATAGCAATCAAGTTCAAAATGTGTAGTAGTGAAAAACAATAAGGAGGAAACTCCCTACTGGTTTTGAGAGAAAATACAGTATTTTATTCTTCTTTGCATGTCTTAGAACAACTAGCCTTGCCTTATACATAACAGTTTTTCCTTCAAAAAATATGTTGGCTAGTTTCCTGACCATGAAAGAGTAACAAGTAACATGATCTCTGGAAAAAAGTCTGTTCCCCTGTAATTTCTCATTAATGATGATGTTCCCTACTTCTCTGCCTCCTGGTTAGCAGGGAAACATTTGATCTGTTTTCTGCAGGCAGTTTATTGATTGTGTGGGTCGAACTAATCTGACACAAAAAGAACCATGGAAGTGGACAGCAGCATTTCGCTGGATAACTACTAAGCAGTAGATAGTTTACATTTGGTATAGCAAAGTTGAGTGGTCCCACACGAAACTGAATGATTAGCAAAAGGAATACTAAAACTAAGTCTCTCATTTGTCAGAAGGTCTATTGTTAGTGAAAAATTAGTAGCATTTAAAGAGAAGTGAAAATTTAATTTTAATTTAAATTTTAAATTTTAATATGAAAGGTCACTAAATCTGTATGGGCAAAAGATACATCTGCCTTTGCTTTATATCCAGGACATCGTGTTGCATACATGCATATGTGAATCTTAGTGCATGGTCTCAGATTACAATGTCTTGGTTTTTCTCTTCTTAAATAACCAGATTATGTTATTGCTAGTTACTGCTCTACTGCAAGCAAATCAAAGTTATTAGCTCGGAGAGAACACAACCAATAAAATGACATCCTTCATGCAAAATTTCCAATTCAAACAAACAAAATTCCAGGAAAATAAAAAAAGTTGCCAGCATTTAGTCCATAAACCAAAGTGTTGTTTAAGAAGAGATGAGACTATTGAGTAAAGAGTTGTTTGATTAAATGTTAGTTTTAATGTGATCAACAGTGTTGCTAACACAAATTAGACCCTCCCAAACTGCTTGTTTCCTTCCCTCCACCCTAGGAGAGGATGTGCATGTTACCTGCCAGAGAGGGTCTCTTTGCTCAGGAAAGAGCTCAAAGTACTTGTGGGCCAGCTGCACTGGAGGCAGAGTTTGAAGACGCAGGTTGGTCCAGCTGTGCACAAAGTCGGCCAAGTTCACAAAGGTGTATGACCCTAGGCGGTCATTCCCATAGTTAGACAAATGAGTCATGAAAATGCTGATCTGAAAGACAGATAAAAATCACCACGCAACAGCAATGCTTAAGCTCAAAAGTATCAGTGTAAATGCCAGAGAACATTTCATCTAACTTTGCAATTGTCTGATTTAACTTTTTAAAGATGGAACACAACACATCTGATTTTGAAAGCAAAATAGCACCTTTACCCACTCTTAAAATTGACGACATTGGATTAGTGAAGAATCTGAATTAAATACATTTTGATATTAAGTAATTATTCTAGGTTTTTTTCTAATGTAGATGTACATACAGGTTGAAGTGTAATAAAACTTGAGAAAACTTTCTTTGTGGTTTCATAAACTTCCATAAATGATTTTGAATGTTATCACTACGAAGAAATTATAAAGTTTTGAGGAAATAGGTAAGTGTAACCTGATTTTAACATTATTCAGTGTATCAAAATATGACATAGGGCCCCAGTAATAAATATACTTTTTATGTTGATATATTAATTAAAAAATAAACATAACTGTCATCATTTGTACAAGAAGTGATTTGAATTTTCCCACAAATTTCCTATGCTCATTAATCTTTTACAACTTTTAATATCTCAATATTAACTCTAAAGCTATAGCATTTCCACATGTTCTTTCAGTGTCAGAGACTACAGAAAAATGAAATCTAGATTACTCTGGAAAAATCAACTGAAACATTGACAATGATCCCAAAAATTTGAGTACTTTTGCTATTTCATCAGGAAAGAAACAATAATAAATAAAAGAGAATCTTTTACATCTTAATCTGCATTGCAGAGATTACTTTATACAGTTTGTAAAAGAAGAGTTCATCATCAGAATAGTAGTCACATAGGAAATTTTACACTCCATACCTTTTGTCCCCAAGATTGGCAACTGGAAATGCCCAGAGAAGTGGTCTTTATCTTAAAATCAATACAAGCATCACTGTCTACCACCATTTACCAAATAACAGGCTGGCAAGAAAGTATAAGTTAAAGATAACCAGGTTCATTGTTAGAATGTGCTTTTTATTTTGGAAAACACACTGTCTTTCTGAGGAAAAAATTATTAAAATTCTGCATGTATTGCATTGTCTCTTGGGTGTGAGAAACAGAAAGAGTAAATGACCAAAATGCGCAGTGTATCGTGAAATGGGAAGCAGGTGTTTAAAAGGAAAGGGAAACTAGGACAGAGAAGGGAAAAAGAAGGCCAAGAAAAGGAAAAAAAAAAAAAGGAGTAAAACAGAAACAAAGCTTTGTAAATAAGGAGGGAAGATGGGCTGAAGGGAGAATGCGGAACTGGAAAAAAAAAAGAATCAAAGTATATCACATACAGTTACATATTCCTTGTGATTAATATGATCATTATGTAGATCTAAAATGTAGCAACAAACTTAATTTAAAAATTATTGGATTTATCAGTCAGCCCTTTTTATGGTTGAAAGTAGAGAGGAGATAAAGACTTGGACCATTGCCCTCAGTGCCTCTAAACTACAATAATACTTAAAAGTTACATGGCACTTACTGTGTGGTAGGTATGATTTTAAGCACTTCACACATAAAGATAATTAAGTTCTCATGATGCTCTCACAAGGTAGATGTTGTTGTTCTCTTTACAGAAGAAACTGCTTCAAAAAGCATTAAGTCACATGCCAAGTGTCTGTCTAGTCAGTGACACCCAAGAGTTCAAAAGTAAGAAGTCAGATTTCCTAATCCACAATGTAGTATGTGCTGACTCTAACCTTTTTAACTAGAGAATTTATAGAGGGCACTAAAAAACTATGGGCAATTTATAGCATTTATATTTCTTTTAAAATAAAATGAAAAAAGATAAATTAATTTTGGAATTTTAAATGGAAACTTACATTAAGATAGTAATAGTGTTTGAAAAAAACACAATTGATAAACAACATTTTTCTTTAGAGAGCTTATCATAATTGTTATACTTCTTACCCATTTTTATGGGTTATATTTAAAGCTTTATAATTGAAAAATAAAAGACTGTTTTAAATAATATTTTTCACATTGCTTGCTTAGGCAGAAATTGAAACTAAATCTCAAATGTTGACATAATGGTCTTCCTTGAGATTCATGTGATCATGCATTCAAAACAGCTCAGGGTATCTATGCCACTTATTTTATCTCTTGGCCAATGTCTTACTCTTATGATCTTTTATCTCAAACAGGAAGTGTCCTCGTGGTCAGACTTAATTACAGAGTTTTAAGAATATAACTTGGTATCAATAGTTGATGGCCATATAATTGCAATTGTTGTCATGAGAACTTCTTAATAATCACCACAAAATAATATGCATTTGATTCTAATAAGCATGCATTTATCTCATGTCACTACTGTAATTAAGAAATAAGACAGTGTAAATAGTGTTCTTCAAGATAATTATAGTTTCCTAGAACGGAAATTATTATGAAAGAAAAGCAAGCAGCACGCCAAGGGCCTGAGGAAATATAATAACGTCCTAGAGATCTCCCACCTGCCCTCTAGCATTGTTATGTTAAGATACAATTTTAGGCGTCTCTTGAGTGCTTAAAGTCTGACAAAATTATAGATAAAAATTCACCTTGAGAGTGTAAAAATTACATGAATATCATAGGTACACTATCATTTCAATAATGGCATTAGTAGATTTTCACAGAAGATTAGTTCTAGATAATTTTTCAAGATTTTTCTTAGGAGAATAAATCCTGTTTTAGGAAGGAAGGCTAAAATGTTATGCAGGGCAAACAGTAACATCTGCCTTTGGAAGAAAGCAGCCGAGGTGTGCTGCTGCCTTTAAATTTCCATTCGCTGAGAACAAACAGGAGCAGCCTGGCCAGGACAGTGGTGGCGGCTGCTGTGTGGGGCGGCGTGTGCACCTGCCTTACTGGTTAGAAACAAATTAGTGCTGGTGTATGGTCAATTGATTGCACTTTAAGAAAAACAATTCTGCAAGCGCAGCTTAATGTGCATATCTGGCTTGCTAAAAGCACCTATTCTGCAAACAGAGCGTTTTAGTTTTAGTATTTCTGGGCAAATGGATTATTTAAAATAAAAACTTATTTCAGAAAGCATAAGGAGACAAATTCTGAATAGACATGGTTTGAGGCCTAAATAAGGGAAAACAGGGTAGACACCATGAAATAATAGCAAACAGTTACTTTTCATTAACTACAATATAGAGCTACCATTTCTTTTCACATGACAACACATGCTCCTCTGCTTGTCCCATCCCTCCATTTACTAATCCTGATTGTTATTTCCTTATTATACACTTTTGCTCTATATTCTCCAAAGTGTCACATGGAGAAGACATGACTGTGCTGAATGATTGCAAACTGTGTATATATGCAACTCACTGAAACTTGAAATAGCATGGTTCAGAGATATGATTGATTCGGGTAAGTGGAATCTTAAAGAAAGACAGGTGAGGGCATTGAGCAGACTACACTCAGAGTGAGACACCAAGTGCTAGCACCATCAGGCCAACTGCACTGCCCTCAGGGGATCTGGATGGCCTTGCTTCTGCCATCAAGCGTCCCTCTGGACTGCCTTGATCTGGTTCCTGGCTCTTCTGCATATGTTCCTCCCTCAGTTCTCAGGGCCCTCAGCTGTGCTCTAACCAAACATAAAATATTTTAAATGCTTCCCTTTTTCTGTTCCAATGATTTCAAATATACTTACGAGTACTCTCATAATTCATTAAAGACACCAAGTTTTTCATTAACCTGATTTCCAAATATAATACACATAACATCAATTTTGGGAAGATATAACCTAAGGAAGAGATTCACTTAATGTTACCTCTATAACCCCACGCAAAGAGAGGTCTTAGAAAAGGTAATGTGTAAATCTCGATAATAGGGAATTGGGAATACAGTTGAACTCCACGGATAATTCTAAGGACAAAGGTACGGCCATGACAACAACTGGACATTGGAAAAGGAAGGTCCATCAGTGGCCCTCCCTCGGTCTTTCACTGAGATTAACAGAGTTGCTATTGGTAACATTTTAACATTTTTGCCTGTTGGGTGAAGTTGTGAATAAACAAAATATAGGAAGAAGGAAAAGAAAAAGGAAATGGAAATCAAAAGCCTCATTTTCTTTACACTGAGTTCAAATACTTTTATTGTCAGTGCGAGAATAGTTTGCTCACTGTTCCTATCTTCACGAGGAACACAATGTGATTGTAAATTGCAGAATGTATTAAGCGGAATGCATGAAACAGTGTTTTCGATTAGAATTTAAAATTGCCTTTCAAGACTATATTGTTGAGCCAGAATACACATTAAATATGTGAATATTTAGTTTGATGTGTTACATTTCCTGAAAATCAAATCATTTGCAGAGTAGTCAGATCTGCAGCTCAGAGCACAAAACACAGGAACAAATGCAGACAGCAGCAGTTGCCAACAGCGCAGGACGGTTCCACGCTGCTGCAGGCCGGGCTGCTTCACGCTCACACAGTAACACGGAATTTTTCAAGACGTGCATTAAACATTAGCAGTCGGCTTCGGCTTCTGCCTCTGTGGCTCCGACAGTGCGCCCCTTGTCAGAATGCGCCATTGTGTTTAAAAATATGTCCATTAGCTTGTTAAATTATTGATTAGGCTTTTACTTCCCATAAAATGGGAAGAGAGATGAATATAGGCATCCTGGATGGTTCATTTGATGGGCTTTGGCACTAAATGTATTTTTCATAAAAAAGGTAATATGAGTTTTTCTTTTATTTTGATATGTCTGGAACCACACAAGAGATAGTAAGACCATACTCAAAATCACCAGTTTGAATGCAATATTGTCTCTTCATTTAACTATTTAATTGGGACATAATTGTTAGTCAACAGTATCTTGGTAAGTGCTTACATCTATGTTCTTAGATATCAAAAATATGTAAAATTTAACCAAGCCTAGCACACTATCATTTTGCTCAGTCTAAAATCTGCCATTACCTTATAATCCACTTTTAGATGAGTCATATTACCTTATAAAAATGAAATGTATATTGGAATGATAGGTTCAGAGTTGATGTT